TCTCTCTCTCTCTCTCTCTCTCTCTCTCTCTCTCTCTCTCTCTCTTTCTCTCTCTCTCTCTTTGTGTTAAGCATGTTAGTTGGATTTTGAAATTAAGAAAAAAAAAATTCAGAGCTATCAAAAACACCTTCCACTTCTCACTGCTCCTGGTAGAGAGTTGATTTTTTAGCAGTCACTCAAGTTCCCTTGGCCTCAGCCTCACCTGAGAAATTGGTTTCCTAGTAGAAAAAAGTTGTTTGCCCATCTATAGAGAGAAATGTCTTGAAGGTCTTGTCTGAAACCTTCATAGGTGGTGAAAGATAAAACCCTGAATTAACCAGCAGAGCAGGGCTAATCATTAAACTAAATGTGAAGCCCATTGGCCCTCTTCTGCACTCTCTTCCCATTGGTACCATTCACTATTCCTATCAGGCACCCAAGGTACCCTGGGCTCTTCCCTCTTCTCTCTTAGTAAAGCCTGCTCTCAAGAAAGGCATTGACATTAGTCATTTGTATTTTATACACAATGATGTGGGGATTAGAAGATACAGTTTAAGTCCCAACTCCCATTTTTAACTTACATGATCAAACGCAACTCACTTAAACTTTGTGAGCCTGTATCCTCAGCTATAAACTAAGGGTGATGATAATATTTGAGCTAACTAGCTCACAGTAAGGCTGTGAGAAGGCATTTCCTTAAGAAATGTGAGCCATAAAGGTGCATGGTACAGTGGAAGGAGACCTGGCCTAGGAGTGAGGAAAAGCAAAAAGAGTAAGTAAGCATTTATATAGTGCCTATTATGTGCCAGGCACTGTGCTAAGTGTTTCACAAATATTATCTCATTTAATCCTCACAACAACCCTGAGAGGGAGGTGCTATTGTTATCATTCCCATTTTATAGTTGAGGAAACTGAGGCAGACAAAGGTAATCTGCCCAGGATCACGCAGTTAATAACTGTTTGAGGCTGGATTTGAACGCAGGTTTTCCTGACTCCAGGCCTAGAGCTCTGTCCACTGTGCCATCTACCTGCCTAGGTTAGGAAAACCTAAGTTCAAATACCACCCTTGACACTTAGAAGCTGATATGTCATTTAATCTATCACCACCCAAAAAATTCTCTTATAATTCAGAGAAGATTCTGATCTGCATTGGTAGACAGTATATATTAACTGGAGTTCTATACATGGATGGAATCATCAATGAAATTACAGATCCAGAAAAACCTTCACACACACACACACACACACACACACACACACACACACACACACACACACCCCAGGTTATTTGCATTTTATCATATTGCACTCTATCATGGAAAGCCTTGCTTTCTAACTGTTAGAGCAATCTCGGCTATCGCTGAGCTGGAGGAAGGAGTGTTTGGGTCAAGGAGGCCTGACATACATGACCACTTCTTCCACTTATGGCTAAGTCTGACCTTCTATCTGAGCAGATATATGCAAACCTCTCCTAGGTGGAGTGGAAAGCCTGTCAGCCTTCCAGACCTCAAGCTGCTGACCCAAAGAAAGTCTCTTAGGGTGCTTTTCATGCTACCTCCAGTAACCCAGACCTACCCCTCATTAACCAGTCCAGTCCAGAGCCACTCTAATGGAGCCCTAAGGGGCAATGCTTTGAAGGAAGCATGGTTCAAATATACATGGATAGTAAGTGATAGAAACAGAATTCTACATGTCTTCTGATTCAAGACCCTTTCTGTCTCCTTTTCCCACTAACGTAAGGGCCAGCCCTCCTTTAGACCTCACCTCCTCCATGCCTTCCTTGACCAGCCAGCATTTAGGCATGTGCCTACCCCTCTGAACTAATGGCATGAACCATCTACACCTTTCCTTTAGCATTGCTTTGGTGAAACCTTGTGCTTTGTACTGATGCTTAGAGAGGGAGCCAGGTGTTATGGAATAAGCATTGTTTGAGAAACTGGAAACTTGGGTTCAAAATTCCACTTATTATGTAATACCTGCATGACCTTAGGAGAGTAACCTAATTTCTCTGTGCCTCAGTTTCCTTATTCATAAAAAAAAGATAGATTTGGGCTAGATGATAGGTAAGTTCCATTTCCTATGATCACAGCTATGTTATCTTACAATTCCAAAGTTACACTGGACGAGACCTCAGAGCTCTCCTGGTCCTAACTCTATGTTTTAGAAATGAACAAACTGAGGGGGCTTGCCAAAGATCTCACAGGCATTGATCGGCAGAAAAGGGATTGGAAGCCAGGTTTTCTGATTCCCAAATCTGGCACTTTCCCCTATGCTTTGGGTGTATTTGCTCATATCCACAAAGGTCCTCTAAGTTTCTGAGGAGTTGAGGCCATGTGTGAATGTCCATGACTATTACAATGCTCTGCATACACTGGGTGGTCAAAAAAAACATTTCGAATAATGGCATGTTTTGGCAGCACTTTTTAGCTGCTATTTCTATTAGAAGTGTGTTTGCATTAGGGAAAGGGAGGCAAAAGCTCACCTGGCATGACAGGTTTTTAGTCAACATATCCTACAAAAGAATTTATCTTGCTTTACACTGGCTCTGATAAAAAAACAAAACAAAACAAAACAAAACAAAAACCTGTTTCTTTTTCTTCTTCTTTTTTTTTTGGAACAGGATTTCCAGGACCTAGAGGCCCACCAGGGTTAACTGGAGAAACTGGTCCCATCGGACCCAAAGGGGACCAAGGTTCCCCTGGGGATCCAGGTCCAAAGGGAGATACTGGAGAAAAAGGTGAGTGCCAGGATGAACGAAGCTTTGCTATAATTTTTTTTTGATGATGTATTTGAAGTCACAAGACCTAAATTCAACTCCTGATTCTAGCACTAATTAACTCTGTGAGCAAAGGCATATCACTTCACCTTTTCAACTTTGAGCCTGTTTCCTCCTCTATAAATTAAGAAGTTTACATTAGATGATATCAAAGGGCCCTCTCTGTCCTCCCCTATCTAATCTCCTCAATTTCCATTCTGCTTCAGGCTATCCCCCCTCACTGTCTCTGAAGCCCTGCCATTCTGCAGATCACACTTCTAATATTTTCCAGGGGACGAGCTGTCTAACTCAGACTGATATGTAAATGACCCCTGAGTATATTCACAGCTCAAATACGTATCTCCATTATTCTTAAGTCCTATGTTGCACTCTTTCTCCACAGCTTCATGTTTCTAGGGGTTAAAGAAATGATATCTTCTTAAGCCTCCAAAACATATCTCAGTCAGACAATCTGAAAGGACCTATGATGAAAAATGCTATCTGCCTCCAGAGAAAGAGCTGATGGCATCTGAATATAGACCGAAGAACACTATTTTTCACTTCCTTCCTTTCTCCTTCCTTTTTTCCTTCCTTCTTTCGTTCTTTCGTCGTTTGTTCGTTCCTTCCTTCCTTCCTTTCTCTTTTCTTTCTTTCTTTCTTTCTTTCTTTCTTTCTTTCTTTCTTTCTTTCTTTACTTCCTTCCTTCTTTCTTTTTTGAGTTTTCTTCCACAAAATGACTAAAATGGAAATATCTTCTACATGATTGCACATGTAAAACCTATAAGAAATTCCTTACCCTTTCAGGGAAAGGGGAGGAAAAGAAGGAAAAGATGAAATTTGGAACTCAAAACTTAAAATGATATGAATGTTAAAAATTGTTTTTACATGTAATGGGGGGGAATAAAATATTATTAGGAAAAAAAAAACAAACATTGTGTTTTGGTTGCCAGCCCCATGTAGTCTCATTGTGACTTATTACCATTTTCTCCCCCTCTCCTTCAGCACCTAAACACTGTCTCTAGCTAATATCAACATTTCTTTATGGCAGGCCTGCGCAACATACCGCCCATGAGCCATATTTACATCCTTTAGATTTTTTTCGGGCCCCCTGAAATCCTTTGGTGGGCCGCTAGCGGCACGTGGGCTGTAAGGGACATGCTGGCCATATGTTGTGCCGACCTGCTTTATGGGTTCACTCTCTCCTTGCCTATTTCTCTATCCTTTTTCACTAGAGCATCTGAGTTCAGTTATTCACATTACCTAAGGCTGCTTTCTGATACAACTAGAAAATGGAAGGGGTAGGAGGAGACAGCAGGGAACATAGCACCAAATCCTCCTAATTTGAATGGCCACATGCTGAGGAGAGAGATTGGTAATGTGTACTTATACATGGAGAAATAGATATGCATACATATATAGATATGCACATGTACATATACATTTACATACATATACACACATATATGCCTATATATACATGCACACACACATGCGCACATGCACTCACACACACACACATAGACATATATATATGAGAATTGAGTGGAGAGAATCATTTTCCTACCATCCTAGAATCATAGAACTATGGGATATTAATCATATATTTTAGCACTTGGGATACTTATGAATATGTAGGCACACTGGGTGCATGAGCAGCTAGGTGATGCAATGGATAGGGCACTAGGCTTAGAATAGGAAGATTCATTTTCTTGAGTTCAAATCTTGTCTCAGAATCTTACTAGCTGTGTCACCCTGGGCAAGTCTCTTAACCCTGTTTGCCTCAATTTCCTCATCTGTAAAATGAGTTAGAGAACGAAATGGCAAACTACTCCAGTATCTTTGCCAAGAGAACCTCAAATGGGATCAGAAAGAGTAGGGAATGACTGAAATAACACACCAAAAAAGAGGAAGTAAAAAAGGTAATACTAGGAAGTTATTTGTGTATGTGTTTATTCCCTCTAGCAGAATGTAAGCTTCCTGAGGGCAAGGACTGTTTTGGTGTTGTCTTTCTAAGATATCATCAGCATCTTACAAGTTGTGGGTAAATATTGGTCGATTTCATTAAATTGAATTTGAACTGGAAATACCTAACAGCAAAACTTACTCATGTGAAATGCTGTTGACGTCCCCCACATCATTCCTTAAATGTTGCCATCTACCTTACTTCCTAGCTGCAGTTGGGAACAAAATGATGGACTTAAAAGGAATGACTACAGATTATCTTAACTGTTCTTCCCTCAGGATTCCCTGGAGTTCCAGGTTTGTCTGGTCCTTTTGGAAGCAGAGGTTCACCCGGACCCCAAGGGGTCAAAGGACCCCAAGGTGAACAGGGACCCAAAGGAGAAGATGGAATGATTCACTCCACTCAATTCTCATATATATATGTCTATGTGTGTGTGTGTGTGCATGTGCGCATGTGTGTGTGCATGTATATATAGGCATATATGTGTGTATATGTATGTAAATGTATATGCACATGTGCATATCTATATATGTATGCATATCTATTTCTCCATGTATAAGTACACATTACCAATCTCTCTCCTCAGCATGTGGCCATTCAAATTAGGAGGATTTGGTGCTATGTTCCCTGCTGTCTCCTCCTACCCCTTCCATTTTCTAGTTGTATCAGAAAGGTAGGTGGAGCAGCTGGACTGGAGAAGTATTGACATTTATTCCGTGATGTTCCTCTGCAGGGGAGATAACAGTGAGTAGAAGTCATCTCAAGTATTTGGTGGTGAAAAAAGGTCAGGACTAGGAATACAGCAATCCACCTCTGCCATTAATTAGTGCATCATTTCATATCAACCCCTAGAAGTCTCAGTTTTCTCATTGGAAAAGGAGAGAATTAGAACAGATGGCCTGTAAAGTCCTTCTTCAGGTCTATGATTCTAATAGATGAGTCTTTCAGTTGTCAAGGGATTTGGTAACTAAGCTTGCTTTTTTTCCTCAGTGATTCTACTCTACAGGAACAAAAGTTGCCATCATTCTTTTAAATTGTCTACCCACGACCTGAAGAGCATAACTGTCACTCCTTAGTCTTCCTTCATCCGTTCCGGCAACATTTGTGGAGTGCCTATCATATTCCCAGACCTTTACCAGAGTTTGCCAGGGAATCCCACAATAATCCAGCATGGTGCAGTGGAAAGAGTGCTGGATTTGGACCTGGGTTCAAGTCCTAATTTTGACTTTGCTATTTGTGTGATGCTGAGTAAGACATATCACTTCTCTGTGAACCCCAGTGCCGTTATCTAGAAAATGAAGGGGTTGGACTAGATAAATGACATCTCATGTCCCTTTCAGCTCTAAATCCATAATCCTGTGATCATATTTCAGGGTACAAGAGAAATATCAGTTAAGGATATTACAGTGTGGTTGGAAAAACAACAACACCGCCCCCCCACATACACACACATATGATAATAGTTCAAAGACATAATAGAATCAAGTATGAACTTTAGCCAAAGAATAGAAAATGATCAATATAAAAAACAATTAATAAGGGAAAGCTTCTAGGAGAGGCAGAGCTTTAGAATTGGAAGGGATCTCACAGGCCATCTAGCCTATTCCAGCCCCCACTTACCCACCCATTTTATAGATGGGCAAACTGAGACCCAGAGAGTAGAAGTACATACAAGGGGTAAGCAAAACTGCTTAAATTTAACTCCAGATTCCGTGATAGAAGATTAAGCTCTTTCTCCACTACATGACCATCATCATGGTTGGATAGCTTCTTTTGTCCCTCATTTTCCTGCATCCCATTGAAGGGCAGATTCAGCACCAGGCTCACAATGAGAGGTAGCAGGTGTAGTGATTAAAATGATGGACTCAGGATTCATAAAAATCTGAGTTCAAGAATTCAAGCCCTCCCTCTACCAATACTGGCTGCCACTCTTGACAAATCATTGACATTTGTAGGATTCTCTTAGTGGCCTTTAAGACTTTAAGCTTCAGAGCACGTGCTTGTCTGCATTCATAGAGGGAATTTCCTCACTGGGATTTCTTTATGACAGTGACATCATTGGTCTCGTACAAAAAAAAAAATCATAGCCATTATGTCTTTTTTCTAATAGCGCTATCTGGTTTACCATGCACTTGATACACAAAAAACGTCCTTCCCTTCTCCACCTTTCCAGATTCCACCTAACGAGTAAACCCTGCTTATACTAATCTGTCCACTCCCTAATCCATCAATCCCAGTCAAGATGAGTGATTTTAACATGTATTTTTAGACAGTAGTCCTGTGTTACACTTTCTATTTTTTCAGTATGTCCAATGGTGTAATGAAGGCAGAGCACATAGGGTTTTTCTAAGGACACAGAATTTATCAGTTTCTGAGTAGTTCAGATGTACTAATTCAGCCCTACTGGTTTTTTTTTTTTTTTTTTATTAGTTCAGTTGTAGTTCTTCAGTACTGCAGAAATAACAGTGCTTAGCACCTAGTAATCTAATAAAAATAGGAAGTTAACTCATGGTTCCTCTGGAGTGATCACCTCTCCTGAGCAACACCTATTCCTATTTCTCCCCACATACACTCCCCCCCAAAAAAACTGATCATGCCTTTCTTGTCACTGGCCTGGGATATGGCTTGGGGCACTCATGCCCCAAGTGCAAAAATTTACCTCTATGTCTATCTCTTCTCCCCTATGAGGCAAAAAGCTCCTTGATTAGGAGAACAGTGTCAGAATTATATACTGGAAAGAGTCAGAGGATCTGGGTTCAAGTCCTACCTTTGGGCAAGTCAATATCATTGAGCCTCAGTTTCCCCAACTGTAAAATGAAGGGGGTGAGACTAGATGATCTCTGAGGTCCCTTCTGCTTCTGAATCTATGGTGTTATAGCCCAATGAATTGTCTTCTCTTTCTTCTATATTCCACAGTGTCCATGGAGTAAAGGAATCAGTATATAGTCAATGACTGCTGGAGGACTGGTTGATTGAATCTGACCCAAAATCATGTGTGGGCTAAGTAGACTTGGAACACCTCTGGCAGCATTGTGATGGAAATGCCCTGCCTCCATGCAGAGGAGATACAGAAAGATGCAAATGTAACCTTTTGTTTACTAACTGCCCATTTCCAGAGAAATGTTCAAAGCACATTCTGTCACCAATACATACATTGTCACCAATTAAAAAGGAAGAGACAAGAAAAAGCAAGAACCAAAACCTTCCTAGGTGGTTTTTTTTTGCTTTTTTTTTTTTTTTTGGTGAGGTAATTGGGGTTAAGTGACTTGCCCAGGATCACACAGCTAGTAAGTGTCATGTGTCTAAGACTGGATTTGAACTCAGGTCCTTCTGACTCTAAGGCCAGAGCTCTAACCATCATGCCACCTAGCTGCCCCCTAAGTGATTTTTGTTCCACCCTCTGGAGAAGCAGGAACACTAGGTACACTAGGTCCCCCCTTTCCAGCCCAATAGCCACCCCGCTTCCTCCAGGCTGCCAACACTGGGGGTTTTTCTCTCCCTGTGGGAGGGAAAGGAGATTCAGGAGAATAAGGACTTCCTAGAAATCCTAGAGCAGGACCTGAGACTTTCCAAAAGCCACCTGTCCTAAGGTTCCCCAAACTCTGAAGTCTCTCTTGTATAACATTTAAGTCAGACCCACACCTTCTTATGCTGAGGGGTCAAGGGAGCTTGGAACACTCAAGGTATCCATTGCTCAGACAGGATGGTAGTCTGCTAACAGCCAGTTCTATAAACTGACTCTTTCTTGGTTTCTTTCTTGTCATTCAACATTATGGCCTCCTGGAAGCCCTGGCTCTCCAGGCATCAGAGGGCCAAGGAGCCCACCTGGGCCAAAAGGAGATAGAGGATCACCTGGGGAGGAAGGAGAAAGTTGTCTGGAAGGTAAGTCAGCCAACCCTCAGGGGTCCCCTGTCTGTCTTTGGCAGGTCTCAGCTTTCAAACTTGGTACTTCCCCTATTTTCCGAATTTTTAGAGAATGAGTGAGCAGTACTAGGATATATCAAAGCCAAACCATCAAAGGTCACTCTAGGTGGGAGACCCATAGTTCCTTCCAGCTGGAAGGTGATGGAGGAACTGTACAAAGTGATCAAAATAGACATAACAAACTTCCCTAACTTTCAGGTTAATGAAGCTAACCTTTCACATGACAAGGCAGTCATCACAATGTATAACATGTTGCCAGACAAGTGTCTATTCAAAGGAGTTAAGATTATATTAATTTTTAAAATTTCATATTAATTTATGGAATAAAACAGAACCTGGAAATTTCTAATTTACTCTACCATCTTCCCAGAATAAAGTCTCTGTTATTTATTTTTGAGATGAGGGAAGCTTGGATAATAAGAGCTTTCCTCTGTGTCCCTTGTAGCATCCTAAAGTTGCTTTTCCTCAGTGTCTCTAGTTTGTCCTCAACTCTCAATGCAGACACTCCTACTCATCCCTACTCTTCTGGTGATGCCTCTAGGATGGGTATGGAATAAAACAATAAAAAAGATGATTGCATATGAAACTGCACATTTACTATATACGACCTGCTATTCCTTCCAAATATACAGCAAAATTATCATGCAAATTTCTTTTTTTCTTCTTCCCACCAAGATCATATTTAGAACACATATGTATCATGCTGACATCAAAGATACAGGACAGGTGAGTCTGCAAATATTTAGTACTAAAAACTAGGAACCAACACCGCCAACTGACCAAGCCATCCAGTTTCTCAAAGCACTATTGAATAATTCTATTTCTCTCTCTTTGTTCCACCCTTGCTGAAGGAGAAGGAAGGTTAAAAAATTCTCCAAGAATGCTGAAGAATTTTAAAGAAGTAGGAGGTTAGGGTTACAGTCTCTCTTCCTTCCCTACCCCTGACTTGACAAAAGCAGGCCCTTAAGAACTTTACTACTTTTTTACTAATTTTTTTTACTAACTTTTTTTCTATGTTAATTTCATTGGAATTTTCTGTCTGTAGAGGAAATCCAGAGAGCCTGGAAATTTCTAATTTACTCTACCATCTTCCCAGAATAAAGTCTCTGTTATTTATTTTTGAGATGGTGGAAGCTTGGATAATAAGAGCTTTCCTCTGTGTCCCTTGTAGCATCC